CGGGCAGCTCCGCGGTGGAGGCAGCGCAACGTGCCGCCCGCCCGCCCAGCGCCTTAATAGCTGCGGGATTTATCTCGCTAATAAATTGAACGATCCATTCGTTCCTGTCAGTGCGGCGCTTCCCCAAATCAATTATAGCGGATTTAACTATAATCACTGGCTCATCCCGGCCGACTCGGGGCCACGCGAGCCATTCATTCCCGCTCAGGAATTACAGCGCGGCTCTGCCCCCGCTGCTCCCTCCCACCGGCCGTGTGAACGCCTGGGGCTCGAAGGCGCGGTGCCCCAGCCACACAGGGTCTAAATCCGGAGTCACTTTGCCGGGTCGCGCTGCTGACCCTCGGGGTAGCCAGGAACAGAATGTGCCTGTGAGTTGTGGGCCTCAGCTGGCACCAGCCGTCTGGTTTAATCCGGGGTTAATTCGAATCAGCACAGACCGGGACAATCGTTTACACACGCAGATGGACTGGCAATTAATTCGAATGGGCCTCCATGGTCCCGTGGCGAAGTGTTTATCCCGGGTACTAGAAGTGGGGCAACGAGCTTGTAAGTTTGCAGGATCTCAGGATCAAAACCTTTGCCCCGGGATAAAGATAAACCGAGCATCTGCTGTTAACCGAGACCAGAATCGGGCTTAGTTGAACAGTCCTGGTTTCGTTCGCATTGCTTTGTCCTAGTTAAGGTGATTGCTCTAAATCAGGGTGGACAGGAGCAAAAATATTTTCTAGTGTTCCAGTTCCTAACTCCGGCTGACTTGGATCCCCGTCCGCTGACAGCTGCTGAAAGGCAATTTGCTCCGCAAGCCGGAGCCCGGGTGCCCCTGCCCTCTTCCCAAGGGGTCTGCCCGCCACAGAATTTGCCCCTGGGGCTGAATATGTAAAGCTGGTCCCCAGATCCCGACTTTCCAGCGGAGAATCCAAGCCTGTGAAATAGAGCGTCCCCACTCCTCGGCACTCTTTAAGTGAATGTTTTACAAACCTGTGTTAACCTTTGAAATGAAAACAATATGGCCCCTATAAATGACTTCTATAAAGATTTGGCCATACCCGGCGCGTGAAATACATGCTGATGCCTGGATGAGTTTAGTACTAGCGATAAGAAGAAAAACAGTGTTAGCTCTCACGTGTGCCTAATTCGAAATGTAATCTGTCAAGCAAATTATTTCTGTATTAGCTTGACGCCTCGGCACCCGCAGTATATTGGAGGAATATTAAACAAGCATCACATAAGGTTAGCACAGGTTTGTAATCCATCTATATTTTACTTATATATATAATATGGTTATCCATGGTATATATATATATATATATATATAATATAACATGGTTATACACACACATATATATAGTTATCCATGTGTGCATTATATCTATACACACACGTGTAAGTATCATATATATATGATAAGTGTATATAGATATATGGTTATTAAAGCCATATAGTTATATAGTTACGGATTTGCGTGGTTATTAAAGCCATATATATTTTATTAAGCTTTAATACCCATGTAAATCCATAATTATGTAAATCCATACATGTGCTCTGTGGGACCAGTTATATACACACACACGTATACATATTATATATTAGTACATATGTATAGTTACATACATTTACTATATATGTGTATGCATATTACATATATAGTAATATGTCATACACATACATATACAAACACACATACATACGGCTTACAAACGGGTGCTAACCTTACGTAGTGTTCGTTTAATATTCCTCCGACATACTGCGGGTGGCAAGCTAATACAGAAATAATTTGCTTTACAGATTACATTTTAAATTAGGCACAGCTGAAGAACTAACACTGGTTTTTGGTTTTTTTCCTTATCGTTAGTACTAATCCCATGCAGACATCAGGCTGTATTTCACGTGCCTGGTAGTATCGGATATATGATACTAACACGTGTGTATATGGATACAATACGTTTATTGAAGTAGAATATAGATAAAGGTTATTAAAGTAGAAACCTGTTCCAAACGCCATTTCCTTATATGCAAATATTGGCGTATTTTAGTGGGGTCTAAGTAGATAGGATTTGATTTGAGTTTACAAAAATATTTCCAGTCGTTCCGATCTGCCCTCCAGGAAGGGGGAAAAAACTTCTAAAAATTCAGGGTTTGAAAATAATCGTCACAATTTTACAAATACGGTGTGGCCTGGCCTGCACCCCACCAGCACACCGCTCGGACAGGGCCACTTCAGTAGCAGGACCCGCCTCCCCTTACAACCCGAACAAGGCAAACCCAGTAACCCCAGCGCACAACGAGCTGGACGCGAATTCAGCCTCGGGCAGGATCCACCTCTTGCCACTTGCTCTACGGTTAAATGTCTAATAGTTAAACAGGAAAACGAACTCGATTGGACTAGAGATTTACTGTATGCCAACAGCCTGTGTCCAAATGTGTTTCTAACTTGGGGGGGAGGACCAGCAGGATATAAGCAGCTATTCATGGAGGAGGTTTCAAAGTCCTACCGGTGTATTGTGTCTGTCTCAATAAAACTAATCTCTTTAAAGCCCCAGCGTCTCACAAGAATACCTGCACTGTTCCAGACTACAAGGGCAAATATGGTTTTCAGATTCTGGTTTTATGGGCGGATTAAAGTTTATTTTCCATAATAGGGCACCTAATAAAACTCATAAAGCTCTGTCAGTCTTACAGCTGGTGGCCCCATTTAACACTTTCACTTCGTAAATCACAGCACAGCTTGCCAGGTGTTTCCAAAACTGGAAGCAGAGAGAAGAGAAGAGAAGAGAAGAGAAGAGAAGAGAATAATCAAATCAGATCAGATCAGATCTGGAAGCAGCGGTGTAGCGGCGCGATCTCAGCGGGAGAGAAAAAGAGCGCACCAGTCTGTAGCGTAACAACGCGGACCCCCACGTGCAGCCACAAAGCGGAACCGCGGGCTGGTAAGCCCCGCCCACAGCGCGGGAGCAAGCCCCAGCTGTCGGCGCTCCCGGCTTGCTCCGGAGTGGATCCGGATGCGAAGCCTCCGTGGAAACGCGCCTCGGGGCGGCAGGTAGAGAGCCGGGCTCAGGCTCAGTGCCCCGGCCCCTGGCAGCCCGCAGGGGGGCGGCGGGAAGCTCCGGGGC